GGGATTTGGGAGTTTTCTTTGCAAAAGTGTCTCAGCTGTTGCAATTCTGGTTTCCTCCTCCTGCCTCAGTAAGGGACAGAAGGGGAGGTGGAAGGGGCCAAGGTGGGGGTGGGAAAGGGGGAAGGGACACTCCTTTGGCTGCAAAGCTTAAGGTTCATCGTGTTCTCCTGTCCCTCTTCTCTGGGCATGTGGTGAGCCTGTGGGAAAGCAGATGCTGACAGATGTTCCAACAGGGCTGTGTGTGCTGGCAGAGGTACACAACCGTGGGCCCTTTGGGGCTATTTGAAAATTGGAGTTGTGGCAGGCGATGTTGGCAAGTCATTCCCCGTCCGACCTGCGACATTCACAGCCTGTTCAAATACACACACACACCCCGCGATTGGATTCAAGTTGCTTTTCTACCTGACAATTAGTAGGATGAAAAACCATTTTTGTACTAAAGTTTATGTCAGAGGGTGCGGAGTACATTGGGTGTGGGTGGCTCAGGATACCCACCAGGCTATTTATCTGTCTGTTGTATTGTTCTCCATCTTCCATGGAGCTCAGGGACCAGGTATACTTGGTTCTCCCCCTCCCCTGTTTTAGTTTCACAACAACCCTGTGAGGCTGGACTGCAGTGGCTGCTTGCCAGCCTCCAGGTGGGGGCCTGGAGGGGTCCCGGAATTACAACTGGTCTCCAGACCACAGAGGTCAGTTCCCCTGAAGCAAAATGGCAGTTTTGGAGGGTGGACTGGATGGCATTAGATTACGCTATGCTAAGGTCTTTGCAGATTTATGCACAAGCTAAGTAAACTATAGTTTAGGACCTCAGGTGATGGGGGGGGCTCTAAATACAGAAAAATTGGCAGTTATCTTTCTTGGGGGGGGTTGTGCCTCTTGAATTTGACCTAGTTTAGGGCAGGGATAGACTAGGAAGCCAAAATGTCCCTGCAGTTTTGTTGTTGTTCAGTCGCACAGTCGAGTCCGACTCTTCGCGACCCTATGGACCAGATCACGCCAGGCCTCCCTGTCTTCTGCCGTCCTCTGAAGTTGGCTCAACTTCATGTTCGTTGCATCTATGACACTGTCTAACCATCTCATCCTTTGCCGTCCCCGTCTTCTTTGACCTTCAATCTTTCCCAGCATCAGGGTCTTCTCCAGTGAGTGCTCCCTTCTCATTTGGTGGCCAAAGTATTTGAGCTTCAGTTTCATTATCTGGCCTTCCAGGGAACAGTCAGGGTTGATTTCTTTGAGGATTGACTGATTTGTTCTTCTTGCAGTCCAAGGGACTCTCAAGAGTCTCCTCCAGCACCATAGTTCAAAAGAATCTATTCTTCGGCGCTCGGCCTTCCTTATAGTCCAACTCTCACAGCCATACATGACTACTGGGAATACCATTGCTTTGACCATGCGGACTTTTGTTGGCAGGGTGATGTCTCTACTTTTTATCATGCTGTTTAGGTTCGCCATCGCTTTCCTCCCAAGGAGCAGGCGTCTTTTAATTTCATGACTACTGTCACAGTCTGCGGTGATCTGGGATCCCAGGAACGTGAAGTCTGTCACTACTTCCACAGCTTCCCCTTCTATTTGCCAAGGAGTGATGGGGCCGGATGCCATGATCTTAGTTTTTTTGATGTTGAGCTTCAAGCCCACTTTTGCGCTCTCCTCTTTTACCCTGAGCAAGAGGCTCTTTAGGTCCTCTTCACTTTCTGCCATTAGAGTGGTATCGTCTGCATATCTGAGGTTGTTGATCTTTTCCCCAGCAATCTTAATTCCCGCTTGTGATTCATCCAGGCCAGCATTTCGCATGATGTACTCTGCATATATATTAAATAAGCAAGGCGACAATATACATCCTTGTCGTACTCCTTTTCCTATGCTGAACCAATCAGTTGTTCCATATCCGGTTCTAACTGTCGCTTCTTGGCCCTTATACAGGTTTCTCAAGAGACATGTGAGGTGGTCTGGTACTCCCATCTCTTTAAGGACCTGCCATAGTTTGTTGTGATCCACACAGTCAAAAGCTTTAGCATAGTCAATGAAGCAGAAGTAGATATTTTTCTGGTACTCTCTTGCTTTCTCCATAATCCAGCGAATGTTGGCAATTTGATCTCTAGTTCCTCTACCTCTTCGAAACCCAGCTTGTACTTCTGGTAGTTCTCTATCCACGTACTGTTGAAGCCTAGCTTGTAGGATCTTGAGCATGACCTTGCTAGCGTGTGATATGAGTGCAATTGTGCGATAGTTTGAACATTCCTTGGCATTGCCCTTCTTTGGGATTGGAATGTATACTGACCTTTTCCAATCCTGTGGCCACTGTTGCGTTTTCCAAATTTGCTGGCAAATGGAGTGCAGAACTTTAACAGCATCATCTTCTAAGACTTTGAATAGCTCAGCTGGAATACCATCACCTCCACTAGCTTTGTTGTTAGTAATGCTTTCTAAGGCCCATTTAACTTCACATTCCAGGATGTCTGGCTCGAGGTCAGTGATTATACCGTCGTGGTTGTCAAGGACATCGAGGTCTTTCTTGTATAGTTCTTCTGTGTATTCTTGCCATCTTTTCCTAATCTCTTCTGCTTCTGTTAGGTCCCTACCGTTTTTGTCCTTTATCATGGCCAGCTTTGCATGGAACGCTCCCTTGATTTCTCCAATTTTCTTGAAGAGATCTCTAGTCCTTCCCATTCTATTGTTTTCTTCTATTACTTTGCACTGTTCATTCAGGAAGGCCTCCTTATCTCTCCTTGCTGTTCTCTGGAAATCTGCGTTCAGTTGGGTAAATCTTTCCTTTTCGCCTTTGCCTTTCGCTTTCCTTCTTTCCTCTGCTATTTGTAAAGCCTCATCAGAAAGCCACTTTGCTTTCTTACATTTCTTTTTCTTTGGGATGGTGGTGATTGCTGCCTCCTGTACGATGTCACGAACCTCTGTCCATAGTTCTTCAGGCACTCTATCTATCAAATCCAGACCCTTGAATCTATTCTTCACCTCTACTGTATATTCATCAGGGATGCGATCTAGGTCAAACCTGAATGGCCTCGTGGTTTTCCCAATTTTCTTCAGTTTAAGTCTGAATTTTGCAATGAGTAGCTCATGATCTGAACCACAGTCAGCTCCAGGTCTTGTTTTTACTGACTGGATAGAGCTTCTCCATCTTTGACTGCAAATTATATAGTCAATCTGATTTCGGTGTTGCCCATCTGGTGATGTCCATGTGTAGAGTCGCCTCTTAGGTTGTTGGAAAAGGGTGTTCGCTATGACCAGTGTGTTCTCTTGACAAAACTCTGTTAACCTTTGCCCTGCTTCATTTTGGGGGGGGGGAACGGTTTCCCCCCGAATTTTTCCAGTTTTCCCCCGGGCCTTCACATCTCTAAGTAGCAGGAGATCTCCAACCACCACCTGGAAGTTGGCAACTCGAATTAACCTGCTGCCAGTGGGAAAAGCCACATAGGTGCTCTCTTGCCTGCACTCAGTGATAGGGCTGTCAGCCTCCATGTAGAGCTGGGAGATCTCCAGATGACAAGGATCAGTTTCCTCTGGAAAAAATGGCTGCCTTGGGGGTTGGATTCTAAGGCATTAGACCCCACTGAAGTCCCTCCCATCGCTAAGCCCTGCCCTCCCCAGGCTGCAGCCATAAATCTCCAGGAACTTCCCAACTCAGAGTTGGCAACCGTAGCACTCAGTGAGGCTGTGGGGGGATGGGGGGTGTCACTAGGTTTACCCGCTTCCAGGTGGTACTGGAGATTTTCTGGGATTACAGCTCATCTGCAGACCACAGGGGTCATCTTACCTGGATACAGGGCTGGCTCACTCACTAGGCGAACTAGGCAATTGCCTAGAGCAGGCTAGCCCTTGGGGGCGCCAAGCTGCACCCGGCCCCGTACTCTGGGAGTTTCTTGATTATTTGTGTTTTTCATTCTTCCTATAATGCATTTATTTTTGAAAATTGGTGGGCGCATGGGGGGGCGCCAGAAGGGATCCTCGCCTAGGGTGCAAAATAAGCTGGGGCCGGCCCTGCCTGGATAACACAGCCATTTTGGACGTGGACTCTATGGCGTTGTACCCCAGCGAAGCCCCTCCCCTCCCCTCAACCCTGCTCAGGCTCCACCCCCAAAATCTCCAGTTATTTCCCAACCCAGAGGTGGCAACCCAAGGAGTCACTCACTTTCAATGCCGCACTTAGTTTTATCTCCTTCTCTCCGATGATGTCATATTGAAGTCACCACACATAATCCAACATCAACAGTAGAAATAATGGTGGTTAATGGCAACCCCCAGGGATACTGGCGGGAGCAGGACTTACCCTAATGGTGTGTGCTGTGACACCACTGCCAGTTACGGTGGGGAGAAGGAGAGAACGAAATGAGGCCTTGATATTTTCAGTGGCCACCCCGTGCCTCTGATAACAGTAGTTCCACCCTTGGCTACAAAGCAGGTTGGGTGACCTTCCACTAGTTACAGCTTCTGGACTTAGCCTACTTTGCAAGATTGCCGTGAGGTTAAAGTAGGGGAAGCACGCCTCATGAATGCTGCTTTGAGCTCCGTGGCAAGGGATGCTCTGTATTCTTGGTGCTTGCGGGGGGGGGGGCAACAGTGGGAGGGCTTCTAGTGTCCTGGCCCCACTGGTGGACCTCCTGATGGCACCTGGTATTTCTGGCCACTGTGTGACACAGAGTGTTGGACTGGATGGGCCACTGGCCTGATCCAACACTGTCTTCTCTTATGTTCTTATAGGAACTCTCTGTCTGGGGCAAGGGATGAACTGTGTTCTTGGGGGGGGGGGAGGCAACAGTGGGAGGGCTTCTAGTGTCCTGGCCCCACTAATGGCACCTGGTATTTTTGGCCACTGTGTGACAAGAGTGTTGGACTGGATGGGCCATTGGCCTGATCCAACACTGGCTTCTCTTATGTTCTTATAGGAACTCTCTGGGGCAAGGGATGAACTGTATTCTTGGTGCTTGGGGAGGGGGCAACAGTGGGAGGGCTTTCTAAGTGTCCTGGCTCCACTGATGGACCTCCTGAGGGCCCCTGGTGTTTCTGGCCACTGTGTGACACAGAGTGTTGGATTGGACGGGCCATTAGTGGGGGGCATGGCCGGGCTGGTGGGGGGGGGAACATTTGGTTCCCCCCCCCCCCAACGAGCTCAGCCACGCCCCCAACGTCAGCGACGTGACTGCGTCACCTCCGCTGACGCAGCTTCGGGGGCGGGGTTTCCCCCGGGCCCGGATTCCTCCTGGGCGGAACTCGGGGGCTCCGAAGCGGGGGGTTCCCCGCCCCCTGGGCACATTTGGGAACCCTATGTTATGTTCTTAACTTGTGTGAGCCTGCAGAGCCATTGAGTTTCCATTGGCAGGTGGGAAGGAAGCAAGAGCCTCGCCCTCAAGATCAGCTACGGAAGAACATCTGCGTTCTTTAGGCTAAACAGTGCTGTATTTGCTGAGCGGTAAAAAGGATTTCTGGTTCAAAACGCAGGGCAGCATGAGGCGTTGGTTTCAGAAATAAAAGAGAAAATAAGCCGATTGTGTGAAGCCGAACTGGATTTCCTGGGATAAAGCGCCTACCTCCCGCCCCCTATTCTTCTCTTTCCCCTCCCAGGTGCAAGATATCAAATTTCAGGCCTTTCGGAAGGAAGAAAAGGAGTCATGGATGAAAGCCCTCAATGAAGGCATCAACCGAGGCAAAAACCGGGTCTTTGATGAGGTAAAGTGTGGAGCTGGGACGCTCCAGAGATTGGTTGAGGATTTCCTTTTCTCTTTCTGTGAGAACTTTGACCTGGGGAACCTCCTCGGACAAGGACTGAGCCAGAGGTGGGGAAGCCACTCCAAGGCGGAAGGCGTTCCTAAAGATGCTGGGACACCTCACTAGGGCAGGGATGCGTCTGGGAATGTGGGCAGGGAATCGGAGGCGTTCCCTGTGAGTCCAGTCCAGGGCCTCAGCTGGCCGGCTGCACTGGGTTGCCAACCCCCAAGTGGGGCCTGGAGATCTCCTGGAATTATAATTGACCTCCAGACTACAGAGATTAGTTGGAGGGGTAAACTCCATCACATTATGCCCTGCTGGGGTACTCCATCTGGGGCGTTTGGTGGGGTTTGATGTAGTGGTTAGGCGCGCGGATTCTAATCCGGGAAAATTGGGTTTGATTCCCCATGCCCTCCACATGCAGCTGCTGGTGTGACCTTGGGTCATTCACAAGTTCTTTCAGAGCTGTTCTCTCAAGGGCAGTTTTCGAGAAGGGCGTGGTATAAATCCAATCTCCTCCTCCTCCCCTCCTCCTCCTGAGCGTGGACTCTAATCTGGGAGAACTGCGTTTAATTCCTCACTCCTCTACATGCATCTCTTCTTCTTCCATCTCCAAATCTCCAGGAATTTCCCAGCCTGGAGCTGGCACCCTACTTCTGTGGAGGAACAGACTGGGCCTCCGCAGCTCTGTTGAATTCTTCCCGGACTGTGCAAGCTGTGCTTCTACCAATCACTTTATTCACTAGCTTTCCCCTACAAATCCATCCTCTGCCTTGCATGAGCCAAGGAATTTCAGATGCATCTCTTAACTATGCTGCCTCTTGAGAGCTCTGCTCAAGGCGGAAAGGCGCATGTTCGGTTTAGTGCGTAGCTGTAGGCTCGGGAGCACTGAGTGGAAAGAACATATTTCGGCCGGAGCCTAGAGTGGAAAAACGGCTCTCCCGGCCCTCAGTAGGGCCTGCATCCACAAGTGGAATGTAAACTCCGAGTGAACTTCTTGAGTCTGCTTCTCCATCTCTCCCTCTCTCCCTCTCTCCCTCTCTCCCTCTCTCCCTCCCTCCCTCCCT